TCCTAAAAAGGCCATTGATGTATGTAAATTTAAGTAAGGATAGAGCAAGGTGAAGGTTAGATGTTCGAAAATGCATTTGGTAATCACGAATGTCGCGGCGTGTACGACATACACAATACGATAATGGATCTGTAAAGCTTTGGCGCCAGGTATATGCAGGTATACACAGCAGGCATTTACAGCCATAACGATAAGGTGCAGGGACGCCTCTTATGTAATTTCATGTGCATAACATATTAACGTCAAGAAATCAAAATTGCAGGTCGCGTCGATCGTCGCCATCATAATACGCGAAAATTATACGATAAGGAACTGCATCTCGATTACATCTTATGGCCCACATCGTGGGCTCATCGATGTCCTTACGATGTTAAATCTATAGTTATTAAATTTAATCTAAGGTGAGTCGCCACTGCTCCTACTCGATTATATCGTTATTTTATACTAAATGATTATATTTGACACTAATGTCATGTCAATTTGATTGCCTATATAGTGAAATTGACACGATATACCATCAAATTTAATTACCGTTTTAGTATAAAATAACGATATATTTAGTAAGAGCTGTGGCGACTCACCTCAGATTAAATTTGACCCTGTAAATTTAATAATGTACGCGAATTGGTCGCCCTCGCGCCGCTTATTAACGCGATTGTCTCATTGGAAAAACAACTATACGCATTTCTTTTGCAATCATAGCAAATATATAACGATCGACTTATACCGAACGCGATCTCATTGAAATGAATCTCTGTCTTCTATAGAATGGATCACTGTCATCCAGCAAAGCTATTAATAATAGTGACAAATGTCACTATAATCAGCGTCCGCATGACTTGCGATCTGAGAAACTAAAGAAAGATAGATTCAAAGAAGCGGTTTACGGATTATCTCCGTATTTTAATCATTAAATGCCAATGTTTTGTGAATATTACAGTTCACTTCATTAAAATGAGAAGCAATCTCATACAGTATACTATCTATATAGATAACACAAGAAGAACTCGCAAATATAGATTACGGAGAATTCGCCAACTGTAGCTTCTTCTCTGAAGAAAACATCAAAGAATAAAAGCATTAAAAATAAAGTCGTTAATCTTTCTCCTTCGATTACAATTTTTTTTTTAAAGTCTCGCATAGCTTCCTTCTGTGGTTTCGTAATTTTTATTGTAAGAAAGAATTACAGGTTTCTTATCCAAGGTTCATTAATTATATAAATTACATAATTAATGAAAAAAATATATTTTAGTATTCGTTCAATTAGCTATCTCGCTTTTACGTGTAACGATGAAAATCGTAGAGAAGATCCACCGAAAATGTGTTCATGATTCACGCTGATCGACTTTTAATTCTCTTTTCTGAGGATTATTTATGTGAGCAGATTAGCGTAGATTTCTCTGTTAGTCATTTGTAAGTAATCTCATTGACGGTGAGATTCTCATTGACGACAGAAGGTTGTCGTAATCGGAAACGGAAATAACGGAAGCAATCAGGGTTGCGGGCTCCCACGATTTGCATGAAAGTCGATTGTCACGGAGATAGTCGCTTCCTGAGTTAAAATTGATCCTTGAACGTGTTTCCTAATCGGGCAACTTTCGTTCGTTCGTCCACATCATTGACGAGATCAACGGGCCGCGACCTTCGAGCAGAAATACGGAAATAGGCTTCGTTAATTCGGATCTTTTCTAATACCCTCTCAATCGCGATATCCGAGCATTTTACAGGAAACTTGTGTTTAAGAATGAAATTGAAAAATTGAAAAATCGCAAGAAACTCTCCGATTTTATTTACTACATTTGCTCAGGAAAATAGGAGTTTTTGCTGGCATTTTCCCCTTTTGTTGAAAATCGATAGTTTTATGTATGCAACTTTTTCAATATGCTATCACATGCAATATTAGATATAATGAATTATGTCATTATTTACAATAAAACACTGATTTATATCGCAACTAAGTTTAACATCTGTGACAAACTGGCGTCTGCAAATTGTATTATATCATTAATCATGTCGCAAGCGGGAGAATAGATGAGGATTAATTTATCGAATTGATCTACGTTATACGAGCTCATTACGATATCATAAATTATGGATATCGAATCAGAAGACATAAGTCAGAAGACTACCTACCCACCTACGAATTATCTTCGCGAGCACTCTATTATAAGTTACAATATAATTAAGCGATGAAATTCGAAGAGATAACCATGAAACAAATTATTACCAGTTATCACCTCCAGTTGTCGCATACTAAAGTGTTATGCAATAAATAATATTCGATTCGTAAATGTAATAGACTCATTTTGTAAATAATTTTACGACAATGAAGAGAGTTTCTGAGTGATATGTTTCATATCGAGTTTTCAATGAAGAGGATGATCTGTATGTGAAAGAGAGAGGGTGGGAGAGGAGAAGAAAATGCGTTTTCGCCGACATTTTCGCGGGTCAGAGACGTTAATCACAACTGTTTCTATTGTCGTTAACGTTTACTTTTTATTGCGAGCGTAGAACTTTGCAATCGTTATAAGAATTTAAGGCCATGCCTCTTGTCACGAATATAAACGTTAAAACGTGCTTAAAACAGCTAATTATAATCAACTGGATGCCTGACGTAGCGATTGTATGATCGCGTAAAGATAATGAATTTTTTTAAAAAAGAGCCTCGAAGTATTCGCCAATTATTGCCAGCCGTTGCTCTTCAGTGCGCCTTCAGTTAAGTTTCTGATAAATATAATTGTTAATTGTCGTTACAACTGTTACTGTTCTCTATCCCCTGCAAGGTTTCTCAAATCACGAAATTCGATGTTTGTGACTCAGCTTTACTTGAAAATAGTTTACAAGGTAATATAGGGATTTCTTGTGCTTCTTTGTTTGATTTATACATCCCGATGATCCTGTCTCAAGTTAATTTTTATTTCAGGCAAGAGATTACATATCTCAAATGCTCTTTTTTTTATCTTCTCCTTCATCACGCGATTCTTGAATTCTTTCCAAATGCTTTTATCCTGAATCTATGCCTTTCAGATCCGAAGTCTAATGTACATATCTGTTACTTACGACCGCGTATTTTCCCATGAAGTTGTGTTAATGGACGAGCACA